TGGAAAGTGCCATTTGTATGTTTATTAATATCACTTTTCACAGCAGACTTACTCAGCCCCGGCAAACTCTGGGACAAATTAAGCCCTGGATGGGGAGGTGGGCAGGGAGGCAGCAGGGCCAAGGGACGATGGTGGGTGTGATGAGCCTGGGGCTGGAGCCTGGAACCATACCTGCCACCACATGGTTGGAGCCCGAAGCCCTGCGGCCAAAGAAGACTCCGGGGGGTGGGGGGGCAGGGCCCAACCCCTGCTGGCGGCCATGGGAGAGGGGTCACTGCTTTGCGCCCCCCCAAATCACAGCCCAGGAGGCTGTGGCCGCAAGAAAAGCCCCTGGTGGCCATATTTGAGAAACGCTGGACTTCAGCAGCAGGAGCTGGTATTTTAACCACAGCATCTAAGCCTGTTCAGAGCCCATGTGCATAACATGGTGGATAAAGCACTGCTGCTACCTGGTCTTCTAGGAGAACTTACCAACGCCTCAGAAATAAAAACAACGAGGAGTCCTTGTGGCACCTTGGAGACTAACAAATGTATGTATTTAGTCTCTAAGGTGCCACAAGGACTCCTTGTTGTTTTTGCTGATACAGACTAACACGGCTACCACTCTGAAACCTGTCAGAAATAAAAGAAAATACAAAAGCCATTAAGGACACTTCCCAGACAACACCATCAACCAGTTATAAAATAGCCACTTTAAATTGGGCAGAGACAAGCAGCTACTGTGCTAAAGGGTGAATGTCCCTCCACCCCCCGCCCCATGGCTTGCTGGGAAAAAGTTGAGAAGGGTATGTTAGTAGGGACAAAGGGAGTTGTTTCTGTGTAGTTAATATTAAAGGAGGGGTGACCAGAGGCTGCATAAACTAACTAACCAACCCACCCAGGAGTAGATATCTGTATTCAGGGTTTGTCTACATGAAGAAATTGACTGGAATAGGCTATTCTGCAATTGCTCCCTTGGTGGATGTGCTATTCTGGAATAAAAAGTGATTTTAATTCCACAATAATTACTCTGCTGTGGAAGTGCACTAATTATTCTTGAATAAAGTGACTTTTATTCTAGAACAGTGTCTGCATAGGGAGCTATACCAGTCAACTACCCTGTGAAGATAAGGCCTAAGCAGCCTGCACGTGACTTGTGGTGGTAAAGAAGACAACAAGTATTAGAGAGAAGCTTACCCCTATCCACAGGTGATACAAACAAGAGCTAAATAACTATATCTATGCTAAAGCCCAGAAGGACAGGGCCCAGTAAGATCTAAAGATGCTGGTTAGAGCAGAGATGAAGAGCCAAGAGGATGTGTCTTCTTTCTCTCTCCCCCAACCCCTCCACTCCACACGCGATGGATATGACAGAACTTATGCAGACACGGCCACACTGGACAAGGTCAAGCAGTAAGGGAGACTAAAGTAAAGCCCTTTATAGTTATCTAGCTACCACAGAAGGTTTATTCCTAACTGCTGAGTCCGTTGCTTTACCCACAGACCTCACTAAAGAGAATTCAAAGGTTGTGGGCCCACACTCTTGTTAATGCAACATGCTTTTCTGCAAGTCTGCACTTGCTCAGTATTTATTTTTGGTCAAGGATTGGGCATGGAAACCAACACACTAGACGTATATAGTGAGTGTGTTTGGATAGAAAACCACACTTTCAATATAGCTGCCAAGATCTGCACAATTTCTCAAGGGGTGCTTTTTCAAATAAGCTGGGGATCTGGAAGTCACTAGGCTCCCAGTCCATCTGAACAACTGTCCCTTAATTATTTCAATCGTGTTTATCCCCATCCTATCACCCTCATTCACCCAAGCTTCCTTAATTCCCCTCCCTGGCCAAGTTGAGAGACTCTGACTCTGTTGGCTGGAGGTGACAACTTGCTGTACACAGGGTCTAACCCCTTTATCTGCATAGAGTGTGGGTTCCCCAACCTGCTCTAGGTGCTTGCACCATCCATCTTGGTATTAGTGGGAGCAACTGCCTGGAAGTCCTACTGAGAACAGCACATGCAGGGAGAAGTTGATAGAGCAGCAAATTTTCAGCTACCTGAACATTTCATGCAACTCACAGTCCCGGCTATCAGTCAGGAGTGAAACTGTATGGATGGGTTTCCAAAATCTGGGATAGTTTGGGTCAATCTGGGACTGTCACCAGCTCTTCCCACATCTGACTCCTCAAATAGGGGTCTTTCATTGTTGAAATCAAATTAGATGCATGGGAACAAGCTGGAAAATCCTCCCTTCCTGCGGTGGTTGATACACTGCAAGATCACAGCTTGATGCATGTTTTTTCTTGAGCAGAGCAGTTCAGAGACATCAGCCACAGAGGCAGGAAAGAGAAGTCACTGACTTTCAGCAAAATAATACTAAAGAAACTAAACTCTTTGTGTCTGTAAGACTCCGTTAAGTACTGGGAGAGTTTTTTTATTCTGTTTCCAAGGCCACATAAGTGTCTCTCATAAGAGAGTTGTGAAATTGTCTGTGTGTCACAAGTGGAAGAGAATAATAATCTTTTCCTATACAGAAAAAAAATCCTTAAAGAATAAAAAAGCTGGACCCATGGTTCATGTCTCAGCATAGCAGACTTCCAGCTCCCAGCACTAAGCATAGAAACACGTATTGCCCAGACCACTCAGTGCTGCTCCTAACCATCTTAATGCTATTCAGTATGCGGACTATTTGTCCACCTCTCGTTCCTTTGAGCCAAGGATCTCGAAGGCTACAATCCTGCCATGAGCTCAGCTTTATAAACACTCAATTTAGCCTCTCTTCACCTTGTATCCTTTGCTCTGTTTTACACATGGAAAAACAGGGCTCTGGGAAGTCATTTGCCCAAGATTTCACAGCAGGTGCATGTCAGAGCTGGGACTAGAACCCAGGAGTCCTGACTCCACCCCCTTAATCTCATCATAGGATCATGCTGCCCCTGGAGCAGGGAAAAGAACCCAGGAGTCCTGGTGCCAACCCCCTGCTCTCACCACTGCACTGCTCCGCCCCTGGAGCAGGGAAAAGAACCCAGGAGCCCTGGCTCCACCCCCTTGCTCTCACCACTGCATTGCCCCGCCCCTGGAGCAGGGAAAAGAACCCAGGAGTCCTGGCTCCACCCCCCTGCTCTCACTGCTGGGCCGCGCTGCCCCTGGAGCAGGGACTGGAACCCAGGAGTCCCGCAGCCTGGTGCCCCGACCTTAGCCTCACCACTAGGCCCCGTGGACCCTCTGCCTTCACCCTCTCTAAACAACAGTGCAGCGCCCCTCCCCCCTCCACTGTTCGCCCTACATCAAAGTGTCAATAAAGTTATTGAAATTGAAAAAAAAATAGAGACCGCTTCACCTCTCGCGAGAACTGATCAACCCGCTCCAACGGACGCTCTCGCGAAAGTGCGAGAGGAATAGGCGGAAGTCTCGCGCGATTTCCCTTTGCCCGCGAGAAGTGGGGGGGAAATCCCGGCTCGGCCTCAGCAGCATGGGGAGCGGTGGGTTCGAGGCGGTTGTTTCCCCTCCTCGCAGGTGCAAAGCGGCAGCTTCCTGAGTCACTCCCGCCCTCGCGTGTGTTTATGGGCAGATTCGTCTCTCCCGGGGATGGAGGCGAATCTGCCGAAGCGGAAAGAAACGCGCAAGTCACTGAGGATCAAAGTCATCTCCATGGGCAACGCCGAGGTGGGCAAGGTGAGGAGCAGTGGAAGCAAGTTGGGGAGGGGATTGGCTCCGAGGGGAGTGACTGACAAGCGGGCTGTCCAATCGGATGCCCTGCAGCCCGGTGGCCTGTGAGGGAGGCAGCGGATTGGTTGAAAAGTTCGACTGACGCGCTGGTGAGTCAATGGAGACCCTCCTAAATTGGCCGGAGGCAGGTGGAGGCGGGGCATGACTATTCCTTACCCAGTCAGACCCCAGCATTGTGGGGGGAGCTTCTGAGTGGTGGTTTACTGGTGGAGGGGGCGGGGTGCTCACGTTGTCCTTTCATTGGACCAGAAGGCGCGGGCCGGGACCGTTGCTTCTATGCCCCGCCCCTTCGTGGGCGGGGCGTCCTGACGTCCCTCTTGGCTTTAGGGCTCTGCCCCCCTGGTTCGGGGGAGGGGCAGGAGGAGACTCTCCCTCGCTCAGAGCAGTACAGGGCCTATGACTCGCATTCTGGTGACCCCAGCGCTGGGCCCTGGGCTGGGAGCTGCGCCCGCCCGAGCGGACACCCCCGCATGGGCGTCCTGGCCCCACTGGGGCCCCATTGCCAACGTCCAGCCATCAAAGGTCATGAGTCGGACCCCCAGAAATCATGAGATTGGCCCCAGATCCCTGGATTTTCTAAGAAAATCTCGTGCTCTGTTTTCTAGGCCCGTCTCTGGATGTTTGAACTGCCCGTGCCCAGGGTGTGCGCGTCGCGTGGGACCGTGGGTGTCGCCCGCTCTCCCGCATGGACAGGCTACGCTGATTTTGGCCCCTGCTGCAGGAGCTCTCACCCCCACATCTGCCCATCTCCTGCCCAGCAATTAATCCTAGTCCCCCGTCAGTTCTGTCCCCACCCAACGACTTGCTTCAGTCCCCCAGCCCTCCTCATCACCACCCCCTCAGTTCAGCCCTCCTACCCCATCGACCCCCACTGCCCTCAGTTCATCCGCCAGCACTCACCCTGTCTGCTCAGAACCTGCCATGGTACAGCCCCATCAGCCCTCCCAGCCTCACCTCTGCTCCTCTTAGGATTCTTTACCCTCCCCAGGCCTCAGGGCCTGCAGTCGGGTCCCCGCTTCTACTTCCCAGGCTGACAGTGGGAGCCTCTCCCTCACAGTGGTCGGGGCTCCCACTGTCAGCCCTCTGCAGGTGGACAGACAGCAAGCGGGCACTCCCCCCTCTCTCCCCCCCCCTCCCCCCAAGCAGGGGTTCCCAAATTCTTTTCCCCTGAGGCTCCCTTGTGCAGCTGCAACAGGCATTACGGCTCAGTATTAACACTTCCCACTGCGTCCGGGAGGGAGACTGAGGGTAACGGGGGACTTGCCCAGGAGGGGGCTGTGAGTCGAGCTGTTCAGGGGGCGGATGAACCTTTGAACCGTGCCCCTCCCTCTCACGATGAGTGTATACAGTCTGATATTGCTCCCTTCCATCTCACCCACCAGGCAGGCAAGCCATCATCCCCTCTGGCTGATAAAATGGGAAATCAGACAAGGGGCTGCTGAGTACGCAGCCTGGTCTCCCCGAGCCGCCACGCGTTCACCGGGGAGAGGGGAACCACGGGACGGGCATGGCCTCTCGCTTCAGCAGAGACCACGGCCAGCGAGAGGGGAAAGGGGCCGGGCAGGTGCCACAGCCAGCCCCCACTGACACCCTCTGCCTCAGCAACCTGCTGAATGCCTTGAGCTCATCACCTGGCAGGCCTGTCCCAGTCACCTACCAGCACCCCGGGGCTCCTGACAGGCACCTCCTGCCCAGGAACAAGGGAAGGGTTCAGGGGCTGCCAGTGCTGGGCAGAGGCAGGTGCTCAAGCCGGGCCTGGCCATTACTAATGACGGCCCAAACACGGCATTGTCCAGGAAGAAGACAGAGCAGCACTGCTGAGCCCCGGTTCTTGGGGGAGGGCGATGGGGCCAATACTCCATGGGGCCTGATACCCATGGATCACGGGGTGCAGTGGCTCAGAGCGGGAATGGTCGTGAACCTTCCAGCTGCCCTAGGAGCCACTGTCTCTTGCAGCCAGCCCCTTGTTTGCCTTCTGCCACCTGCTGTGGGCACTGGGCTCCTCTGGCCCTGGGTAGGGGCCATTGCCGGCCGCCACTCCGTCACTGTCCACTTTGTAATGCCCTCCCCTGCCCCCACAAACTCCGCCCATGGCTGCACCAGCAGACCACCTGGGACTGTGTCGCGGCCCACAGTTCAGGAACCCCTGCCCTAGAGCCCACCGCAGAGGCCACCTTGCCCTTGTTGCCCATGAGGCATGAGCGGTATCATCCCCGGCTAGCGGGCAAAGTGCGGCACCGAGGAGGGAAGGGACTGGCCCAGGACAATCCAGTGGGTGACAAGGAATGGATCACTTGATGGTGACGTATTCTGTTCATTCCCTCTGGGGCACCTGGCATTGGCCACTGTTGTAAGACAGGATACTGGGCTAGATGGACCTTTGGTCTGACCCAGTATGGCTGTTCTTATGTTCAGTGTTGTGTGTTTGGAGGGAGGGGTTTATTTTACAGCATGAATCTTATGGTATTTGGTGTCTTTCCTAAATCCCCAGCTTCTGGAGCCATGTGAAAACGTGAGAGTCTCCTTTTTTTTCGCTGGAGATGGGACACTGGATGGGGAGGGTTCTGGATTACTACAGTGAATTCTTTCCCAGGTGTCTGCATGGTGGGGCTCGCCAACCAGCTTAGGGTCTAACTGAAGGAATTTCCCCCCAGGTCAGATTGACAGGGTTCGCCTTCCTCTACAGCATGGGGCACGGCTCACTTGCTGGTTTAAAGTAAGGAGTGGATTCTCTGAAACTTTAAGTCTTTAAGCCATGATTTGAGGACTTCAGTAACTCAGCCAGATGTTAGGAGTCTATTACAGGAGTGGGTGGGTGAGGTTCCGTGGCCTGCAGTGTGCAGGAGGTCAGACATGATGATCACAATGGTCCCTTCTGGCCTTAAAGTCTGAATCTATGAGCCTTCATGAGTGAAGGGAAAAGCTTGAAAACATGACTCCTAAAGGCTTTAAAAGCATAGAGGCAGAACTCAAAATGTACAGCTCTTAACTCTCTTTTTTTAAAACCAAACTCGTGAGACAGGCTCCCTGGAAAACTCCTTGGCTTTGATTGCTTGGCGTGAATTTGGCAATGCTGAGGATCACGGAGCAAATCAGTAGAACTGTTGGGAGTAGAACCCATGTGTCTTGACTCCTGCCTAATGATCGTCACATAAAACTAGCCTCTCTTTACACACATTTTGCATTTTCTTAGCCCTTCTTCCCCCAAAATAATTTAGAGCACAGAGCCTCAGTGGTCCATGGGGCAATGGCAGGTTCTGCTTAGGAGACAAGCATGCAGCAGGAGTAGTTGCTTCATGGCTAATCTTTGTGTAATTGCAGTGGCTGGCCAGTTCAAGTATATAGAGACAGAGTATAGCCAGCAGCCGCCTACCCACAACGTGTTTCCTGCTGGATTCTCCTGGGGGACTGTATTTTGTGTTTTAATGTCGCTGCTCACTAGGTGCCTTCCTGCGTCTGAGAAGTTTCCCTTACTTGCTGGGTGGAGCAAAGTAGTGTTACTGAGCCTTGAGAGCACATCTGGCATGTGCAGAGTTGGATTCTCCCTTCAAAGAAAGAGAGAAGGAGAAGGAAGTAGCACCTTCCATGGGGGAATATGATCCAGGTGTTACCTTTGCCTTGTCCCTTTGTTCCCATCCACATTCTGGTGTGAAGAACTGCCAGTTTTATTTACTAAATAATTCCAAAATCTAGTCTCTTAAAATTACTGACACCACTAAGATTGCAATGCATTCACTGTTGCTTTCTAAGCTAGATTCTAACATCCTCTTTGCTGGCCTACAGGGGTCTACTACACCCAACCTACAGTTGGTCCCAAACAACATGGCTTGCCTCACCTTAGCATTTCAAATGTTTAGGGCACTCAGGGTGCAGCACAAGAACAGAGTAGGTAGAAACCTCTTTGATCTGTGAATTCGATTAAAGGCCTCATCCTAGGGATGTCGCTGGGTGGGGTGCAGCAAGGTTGTGCCTCATCACGTTACCATGCCACCCAAGCAAGCCTGTGTATCGGATGCATTCCTTCTACCATATCCCTTATGTGTGGTATCCCCAGCGCCTCATCTTGTCACCATCAAGTCGGATAGATTGTCAGCTCTTTCTATCTCGGGGTTTTGCACAGCTGCCCATTACCAGAGCATCTGAGTGCCTTCCGTGGAAAATAGATTGGCAATAGCAAAGCCCCTAGTGGGCTTCATAGAGGCCCTGGCTCTTCTCCCTTCTTGATGTATAAAACTCTGCTCACAATCAGGTTATTTATTTTGGTTGATTCGTTTGTTATGGGCCCCCACCTTGCCCTTCCAGGACAGTGACAATGTTTTCACATGTTGTGCAATTATTGGATTCTGTATACCAATAATGCGATCAATAATCGCGTGAAACAACTTTCTCTGTGATATGGTGCGGACATGTTCATACTCGCCTCTCTTGTTCTAGAGCTGTATCATAAAGCGGTACTGTGAAAAGAGGTTTGTTCCCAAATACCTAGCGACGATAGGAATCGACTATGGCGTCACCAAGTAAGTGCCCTTTTCTAGCTACTTTTATGGGTAAAACAATTGCAAGTGAAAAGCCCTGTACCATGGTGGCTGTGTACACGTGCTAGGGCTCACCAATCAGTTCTCCATTTGACACTTGCTGAAAAGAGCAGAAGTGAGTAAACGTAGTATAAACTTGAGCATTAGAGGGATCTTAAGAAAGAAGTCATGGCAAAATGACATGATCTCTTACGTTCCTATATGTACCGGAATATCGCTATCTATGACCTTCAATGTGTATCATAAAATATACTGCATGTTCAGTGTGGCCAGGAAGACCTTATCTTCATCTGTTGACTATTGAGTGATTTTTGATAGTAACATCACTGGCGTTTGAGGGCTTGAGTTATATTATTGATTAGGTACGACCAACTTGAGATTGAGTGATCATTTCTTTTCAATGCTTTGCTCCCTTTCTGGTGTGTACAGAAATCAAGACGAGAGGGTTTCTTGTCCAGCTAAAGGTAATGGAAAGAGAGCAAGAGATCTGGCTGGCCTTTGTCCCCCTTTGTTGACTGGCTACCATGCACGACAGTTATTCGCCCACACAAGCCCCCCTCGTGTATTTTTTTTTTAATCAAGCTAAAGTAGGGCAGTAAAAATGCCTTGGTCTTACTGATTTGGTGATATTTTCTCTCTGAAGAACGGGACACTGTCAAATGGGAACTCTCTGGGAATCTCATTGGGAGGGAGTTAGCTCTTTCATGGTTCATGCTGTGTGAGCATCATACCCCTTCTGAATGCTTCTCATCTATCATTTCAGAGTGCAAATTAGAGATCGCGAGATTAAAGTCAACATCTTTGACATGGCTGGGCACCCCTTCTTCTATGAGGTAAGGGAGAAAGGGCTTCTTCTCTGCAGCATGGTTAAGAATTAAATCGATCTGTTCTGTCTCAGTGTGATTCTAGATTACTTCTGATCATATAGCTAGACCAGGGGTCGGCAATGTTTGGCACACGGCTTGCCAGGGTAAGGACCCTGGTGGGCCGGGCCAGTTTATTTACCTGTTGATGCGGCAGGTTCGGCCGATCGTGGCCCCCACTGGCCGCAGTTCGCCATTCGGGGCCAATGGGGGTGGTGGGAAGCGGCGCGGGCGAGGGATGTGCTGGCCGCGGCTTCCCGCCACCCCCATTGGCCCAGGACGGGGAACCACGGCCAGTGGGGGCCGCGATCGGCCAAACCTGCCGCGTCAGCAGGTAAATAAACTGGCCCAGCCCGCCAGGGTGCTTACCCTGGTGAGCCGCGTGCCAAACGTTGCCGACCCCTGAGCTAGACATAAGCAGTAGGTAAGTGATGATAAGAGGCAGGTAGCAGAGAAGATCTGTAGGAAGCATAGATCAGCATAGTTGCAGCCGTTCATACCCTGGCAGAGTGACTGCTTCAGAGGTTATAATTGTATTTCCTATATCCCCTGTTAAAGTGTTGTGCTGTGCAAGTGACATACTATGAATGACCTCACACCTATGGAGCAGACTGATAAATATTGCTGCGTAAGCACATTTCCAGATTGCCTGTAGCGTAAGTGTGGATACCGACATAAATCTATCACCCTGCCCTCCGTCACCTACCCAGCACTTGCCAATCTGTAATGGTGTAATGGAGGCAGCAGGGTGTAGTGGACGAAGCATGGGACTGGGAACCAGGAACTCCAGAATTTTAACCTTGGCAGCAGCAGCGGCTTCAGGCACCAGCGCAGCAAGCGTGTGCCTGGGGCGGCAAGCCGTGGGGGCGCCCTGCCGGTCCCTGCGAGGGCGGCTTGCCTGCGGGAGGTCCGCGGATTTGGCGGGGAGTCAGCGGTAGGTACGCTGAAGCTGCGGGACCGGCGGACCTCCCGCAGGCATGCCGCCGAATCCACGGGACCGGGGACCGCCCGCAGGCATGCCGCCGAAGGCAGCCTGCCTGCCGTGCTTGGGGTGGCAAAAAAGCTAGAGCCGCCCCTGCTTGGCAGGGCCCCTGACTCACTGTGTGACCTTGGGCAAATCAGTTAGGGCCCCATTTTCAGAGGTCCCGAGCACCCGTAGCTTACACTGACTGTAGCTGAGGTTGTGGGTGCTCAGTACTTCTGAAAATGGGGTCCTAGGCAAGGTGGGGCTGGGAACCAAAACGAAGTGGATTCCCAAAAGCGCTGACCTGAGTGACGTGCCTGAGGCCGCAAAAGAGAGTCCGTGTCCAAGCTGACTACATCCCAGGAATCTCTGGTGGGTCCTGGTACTGTGCTCATGAACCAGGCCTTGATCCTTCCCTGCCATAAATAACATTACTGATATTATTTCTTACTTACCCAGAGCCGTAAATGTGCATATACAGTGCCTTACTGTACAGGTTCCAGATTCCCTGCCCTGAGGCACTTACCGTCTAGAATAGTTTATATAACATGTATAACCCACTGGCCAGAATGTGTTACACATACCCCTCTGTGCCTCATTCACAGAGGATGCGAGTCACACAGAGCTTAGTTCTCTAGCTCTGCAGGGCCTTGGTCCTGTCACCAGTGTCCGCCAAGATGGCATCCATCACACTCATTCTCACTCTTTTTTGTCCTGGGTAGGTTCGCAACGAGTTTTACAAGGACACTCAGGGGGTTGTCCTTGTGTATGATGTTGGCCAAAAGGAGTCATTTGATGCACTGGATGGATGGATGGCTGAGATGAAGCAGGAGCTTGGACCTCATGGAAACATGGAAAACGTTGTCTTTGTTGTCTGTGCCAACAAGGTAAACCGTGCTATGATGAAGAGAAGAGCCAGGAATTCCTGGCTGCAGCATGTTGAGCAGCAACTGCGCTGAGCCCCTGGGAATGAATTCAGTGTGCAAAGTGGGTGTTGGAACTGGCTACGAGGCTAATCTGTGCACTACACACTAGTAGCCATGTTTGCAGGGTTTCCCAGCACCCTGATCTTGGGTCTTGCGTGCAGATTCTGTTCATGATTTCAGAATCGTCATCTGTTTCAATTCCCTCTCCTTCCGCTCAAGAAAATGTAGGCTTCCTCCCAAGGCTGTTCTGGGAAGTCTATCACTGATGCCACAGTGAGATGTTAGAACAGGAGTCAGTGCCTTTGGGATCCAGGCAACTACAGCCCTCTAGGTAGCCCTGTTGCGACTGCTGTACCTAGATATGTGGGGTGTCTCCTTGCACCTGATTCCTTTTCTCTACTTCGTTGGGCTCAGATTGACTGCACCAAGCACCGCTGCGTGGATGAGAGCGAAGGGCGACTGTGGGCAGAAAGCCGGGGGTTTCTTTACTTTGAGACCTCAGCACAGACAGGAGAAGGAATCAATGAGATGTTTCAGGTAACTTGAAATGGCAGTGAAAAGGATGCAGGCCCCATACGTGACCTCCTTTTGTCAATAGCATGTTCATTAATTGCCGTGATCTATAGAATCTATTGACTGTTCATAATAAGGGCTGCATCGTGGTGAAATTCCACCTTTCTAGTCTGAGTCCAGCATATTGATAGCTCCTGTTTAGTAACAGCAATATTCAGAGAGAGGTTGATTTGGCTGTACGGCGTGGACTCCAGGCACATGGTTCTATAGCTGACTGAGAAGAGAGGCTTTTCTGCCAGATGTCCTAGCATAGTACTAGCCATGTGCGATAGGTAGGAGTGTCTTCTCTATTCTGGCAGGCAACAGAGCACTTCTGTTACAGTGTTGCTTGTGGCAAGTTCTGCGGTCTTAGAGCTTTGAGTGCATGCACTAAGAATCAGCAAGCCCTTGTCACCATCCGTGTTTCAATATACTCACAATGGCCGTATTGCTCAGCTACATAAACTGGGGCTGCTGGCTTCCGTTCAGAAAGAGGGGACGCTTTCAGCTAATTCCTCTGTGCGTTGGCAGACCTTCTATTCCGCAATTGTTGACCTGTGCGACAATGGTGGGAAACGCCCCACGTCGAGCATGAGCGTTGGGTTCACCAAAGAGCAGGCGGACACCATTCGGAGGATCCGCAACAGCAAGGACAGCTGGGACATGTTGGGAGTCAAACCTGGAGCCACAAGGTAAAGGATGCTTCAACATTCTCCTCGTTGTCTTTGATTAACTGCTACTAGAGTTATAGATTTATTTTTTTAAGGCCAGAAGGGACCGTTATGATCATCTAGTCTGACTCCTGCAGAACACAGGCCAAAGCACCTCACCCAGTCATTTCTGCATCAAGCTCCTAACTTCTGTTTGAGCTAGAGCACAGCTTTAGAAAGACACTCAGGCTTCAAGTGATGGAGAATCCACCACAGCCCTAGGGAATTTGTTTAGTTTGAACTTCCAAACATTGGCTCCAACGCTTAATCTTAATCTCTTCCCCATGTAGGTAGTTATAGGCCACCATGATCAAGTGGTCTTAACTTTCTCTTGGATAAACTAAATAGATTTGAGTTTCTGAAGTCTTTCGCTGTAAGGCAGGTTTTCCAGATGTCATATCATTCTGGTAGCTCTCTTCTGAACCCCTTTCAGTTTTTCATTATCCTCTTTTAAGGTGTGGACACCAGAGCTAGACACAATATTCCAACACTGGTCTCACTAATGGCATGATCAGAGGTAATACCACCTCCTTTTCTTGCAAATCATCAGTGAAGATACTGTATTGAATAGCTTTGGGGCAAGAACAGATCCCTGTGGGACCCCCACTCAAAGCACCTCCCTAAAATGACGATGCCCCATTTACAATATTTTTTTGCAATCTACTAGTTAATGTTTAATACATTTAATATGAGCTACATTGATTTTTTTTTTATCATAATGTCATGTGAGACTAGGTCAAATGCCTTACAGAAGCCCAAGTGTATTACGTCAACAGTTACTGTATCAACCAAACTTGTAATCTCATCAAAAATGAGAGATAAGTTTATATAAGACCTATTTTCTATAAAAGCGTGTTGATTTGGAATTAATGACGCTACTATCCTTTAATTAACAAGGAACCTGGTAAGAGTTTCCAGCTAGAGAGGGAAGGTGGTTTGATTGGGAACACAACCTGTTTGAACACCTCTCTAGTACCTCTTATTTCTTCTGTGGCCTTGGGCAAACTGCTTAATCTTTCTCCGCCTCCATTTCCATGTCTATAAAACAGGGAGCGAAATACCTGCTTCACTAACGTTGGTAAATCACTTCAAGATCCTCCCATGGAATACACCTTGCCACCTTCAAAGTGCTAGGTAGCATTGTCCGTACTTTCCCCTGGGATGATGTAACTCTGGTCATCTAGACTGTGGATTTACCTGTGCAAAGTTCAACAGTTGCAGCTGGTGCTAAGGACTTATAACACTAAAGCCAGCAAGGCTGTTCCTGCCATTGCTACTGAGTAATACCAGTGGTGAGATACAGCTTCACTTGACTTGCCACATGGCAGATCAGAGTGAAGTACCCAGAAGACAGTGCAGTCCAGTGGTTCGGGAACTGGACTGGGGCTCCGGAGGAGACCAGGTTTCTATTCCAGGCTTTGCCACTGGCCTGCTTTCCTGGCCACTTCACCTCTCTGAGCCTTCGTTTTCCCATCTGTTAAAATGGGGATAATTATATTTGCCTCCATTGTCAGGTGCTTTGGATCTAGGGATGAAAAAAAGCATTATAACGGATGCTAATCTTCTGACTATGTACACTTACCAGCTGCACAATCTTTTGTCCTTTCTCGGTGCTTCTTTGTCCAGTTCAGTTGGTCTGACAGTAGCCCTTATGATCTCTCCAAGAGAGATGTTAAGATTTGTACAGATGAAGCAGTATCTTTCCCTTGCTCTCTGGCTGCAGGGAAGTTTTTGTGCTGCCATAAAGCTACTGTTTTCTCTCCACACCTTGCAGGCAAGCACTTGCCATCACAATGCTTCTTTCTGTGAAAATTGCTGCTGTTGTGTTTTGGTTTTTTTCCCAAAAAAGCTGCAAGACTTCCCCTGTCTTCCTAAAGATGGCTGACTGCTGGTTGGAAGTGATCATTAGCACCCATCCTACAGAGTGTTGCAAGTGATTAGAGCAGGGGATTGAAAATTTGGGATTCCTGGCTCCTGCTGAGTGACCTGGACAAGTCAACTCACCTCTGTGTCTCAGTTCCCTATCTGAAATTCCCAGAAGGGTGCTGGGAGGCTCAGCAGATGTTTGTAAAGCACTCTGAGATCCTTAGCTGAAAGGTGCTGTACTAAAATGCAAAATGGATTATTTATTGTGCCCAAGAAAAGAACTGCCCTGAGGCACTTACAGTCTAGAATAGTTTAACATGTAAAACCCACTGGCCAGAGTGTGTTACGCATCCCCCTCTGCACCATTATACATTCAAGTTTCAAATGACCCCTCCAAGTTGCTTCTGCTCTGGCAGAGTTCAGGACCTGCCATCCGCCAGGCACCGTAGCCCCCTGCATAAATTAGTAACTCTGCAGCTGGGGAAGGCGGTGCTCACGCCGACATACGAGGGCCAGGAGAAACTGACGGTAAGGGAATTGCTGACGTCACTTGCTCCACAAGAGCCCTTCCCACAACCTTAGTTCCTCCCTATCAGCTGACTGCTGTGACATGAGGTGACTAGGCTAAGTTAGTGTTGTCACCCCTCCAACACACAGGACACAGTATCTTCTCTTCAGTATGCAAATAAGATGCGGCCCAAGGCCACTTAATTCCAGGGGCCTGCACTGGCCCTCTACCCCAAGGTGAACTGAGCTTGCACAAAAACATCTGCACATGCTGCATATATAGTCTGAAATGGTCATAACTCTTAAATCAAACCCAAGTTCTTTCAAAGCCATCTGCTGCTCCTATGAAAGGTTTCAGAGGGGTAGCCGTGTTAGTCTGTATCAGCAAAAACAACGAGGAGTGCTTGTGGCACCTTAGAGACTAACAAAGTTATTTGGGCATACGCTTTCGTGGGCTAAAACCCACTTCATCAGATGCATGGAGTGGAAAATACAGTAGGCAGTGGAAAAACGGGTAGTGATCAACGGCTCCATGTCTAGTTGGCAGCCATTTTCATGCGGAGTGCCCCAAGGGTCGGTCCTGGGGTTGGTTTTGTTCAATATCTTCATTAATGATCTGGAGGATGGCGTGGACTGCACTCTCAGCAAGTTTGCAGATGACACTAAACTGGGAGGAGTGGTAGATATGCTGGAGAGTAGGGATAGGATACAGAGGGACCTAGACAAATTAGAGGATTGGGCCAAAAGAAACCTGATGAAGTTTAGCAAGGACAAGTGCAGAGTCTTGCACTTAGGACGGAAGAATCCCATGCACTGCTACAGACTAGGGACCGAATGGCTAGGCAGCAGTTCTGCAGAAAAGGACCTAGGGGTTGCAGTGGACAAGAAGCTGGATATGAGTCAACAGTGTGCCCTTGTTGCCAAGAAGGCTAATGGCATTTTGGGATGTATAAGTAGGGGCATTGCCAGCAGATCGAGGGACGTGATCATTCCCCTCTATTCGACATTCGTGAGGCCTCATCTGGAGTACTGTGTCCAGTTTTGGGCCCCACACTACAAGAAGGATGTGGAAAAATTGGAAAGAGTCTAGCGGAGGGCAACAAAAATGATTAGGGGGCTGGAGCACATGACTTATGAGGAGAGGTTGAGGGAACTGGGATTGTTTAGTCTGCAGAAGAGAAGAATGAGGGGGGATTTGATAGCTGCTTTCAACTACCTGAAAGGGGGTTCCAAAGAGGATGGATCTATACTGTTCTCAGTGGTAGCAGATGACCAAACAAGGAGTAATGGTCTCAAGTTACAGTGGGGGAAGTTTAGGTTGGATATTAGGAAACACTATTTCACTAGGAGGGTGGTGAAGCACTGGAATGGGTTACCTGGGCGGGGGTGGAATCTCTTTCCTTAGAGGTTTTTAAGGGGAGGCTTGACAAAGCCCTGGCTGGGATGATTTAGTTGGGAATTGGTCCTGCTTTGAGCAGGGGGTTGGACTAGATACTTCCTGAGGTCCCTTCCAACCCTGATATTCTATGATATATACATATACACACACACACACAGTACAGTAACTCCTCACTTAACGTTGTAATTATGTTCCTGAAAAATGCAACTTTAAGTGAAACGATGTTAAGCGAATCCAATTTCCCCATAAGAATTAATGTAAATGTGGGGGGTTAGGTTCCAGGGCAGTTTCCCTTAATCTGCAAGCAGCAGGGGCTGGGGGCTCAACCCTCAGCCCGCCCATTCCACCCCTTCCCCCAAGCCCGCACCCTTGACCCGCCTCTTCCCCCCCCCCACCTCCTCCCCCTTTACTTCGCATGCTGCGTCCTGGCTCCTCCCCCCTCCCTCCCCTACCTTCTAAATGCCACAAGCCAGCTGAGTGCCACGGGAGGGAGGGGGGAGGCGCGCCGAGTCCTCGCTTCTCTCCCCTCCCTCCTGCCCGGAGCAATTAGCTGGCTTGCCGCGTTGGGGAGGGAGGGGGAGCCTGCGCACCGAGTCCTCGCTCGTCCCCTCTCCCTCCTGCCTCCAAAACACCACAAGCCAGCTGATTGCCGCCGGCAGGAGGTGGGGGGAGGAGGGAGAAGACGCTGATCCGCAGGGCCTGCCGGCAGGTGGGAGGCGCTGGGGGAGGTGGGAGGGGGCATAGGGAGGCTGCCAGCTGTGGAGAAAGTAGGCAGCCAAACAACGTAAGAGTGGAGCATTGCACAACTTTAAACAAGCATGTTCTCTAATTGATCAGCAACGAAACAACGTTAAGCAGGACGACTTTTAAGTGAGGAGTTACAGTACATGAAAAGATGGGAAGGTCACTTCCTTGCCAAACTTCAGCTTGCAAAGCCCAGCTGGTCTGGTTGGAGGGCTGTTTGCAAACATCTGGGAAGAATGTTTTTTTTCTTTCCACTAATCTTGGGCTGAGAAGCCGTCAGCATGCTTTTCCTCTAGCTTCCCATCATAATTTACCTTCAGGCACAGGCCAAGCCTGGAAAATTTCAGCCTGAGAGGGAAAAGTTTGGAAATTTATGAGCAACTGCAAAGAACCGGGAGTGGGGAAGGTTAGAATGGGAACAACTCTGTGCCTCCACTGCTCTTCTCCCTGCTCCCCCGATAGTCTGTCTCCCGAGCAGGGAGTGAGGGCTGATGGGTGCCTCCTAACATGGCAGCTGGGAGCAGTACATAAAGGAAGGGCTCCGGACGTCACCCTCTTGCTGATGATTGTCTCGTCTCTCATAGGGACGAGGTGAACAAAGCCTATCGGAAGCTGGCAGTGCTGCTCCATCCGGACAAGTGCGTGGCTCCCGGCAGCGAGGACGCTTTCAAAGCTGTCGTGAATGCGCGGACGGCGCTTCTCAAAAACATCAAATAGAGGACGGAGCCGGAAAACCCACCCTGGTGGACCCCATGCCCACAGTTCCTGGAGAGCCAGTTGACCAGGGCAACCCTCTCCTCCCCAGCACCCGTTACTGTCTTAGTAATGGAGACTAGGGGCCTCCTCCTGCTTCCACTAACTGCCGTAGGAACAGGAGTTGGCCCTCGGTAGCTGCGTTTCACCATGCGCCAGTTTCTTTCTATGTCGAGAGCTGAGCAGAGGAGCTGTGTCCCATGCACCCAGCCTTGAGCAAGTTCCTGACTGAGTCTGAGGCCCAGGTTCATGATTGGCATAAGCAGGTGCAGTGCCCCTGAAGACAGTGGTGTTGCACAAGTTCTCACCAACAATGGATTTGGCCCCCGGTCTTGTTTCAGGTGAATTCTTGAATGAAGTCTCCCCCGCTAGGCATTACTGGCCCTTGAGGCCTCTCCTTAGATGAGTGGGAGGGGCTGGCTTCGAGCCCATCGTTGTGGTTGTTTATCCCAATGCTAAAAACAGCAAGAGTAATCTGGCCTACTCCAGCACAAACAAGTCCCGTGTGCTGTGGCCTGAACGATCAGCCTACAGCATTGGCTCTGTGTTTGCTCTAGATTCAGAGGCAGGACGCCGGCAGAGGCAGCTACAAATACCTCTGAGGTCCAAGGAACCTCAGGTTATGGTCCCTGATTCCTTGAAACTAGTAGAGAATGTCAGTGACCTCTGTGTTAGACACGTGGGATCAGGGGCTGACTTCTTGGTCACAACAGGACATAAGCCTGCCCATTTCTTAGCCGCTTAAGTAAGGGCCCGATATGGAACTTGGATGGGCAGTGAATTGTCCCTGGTGGGAGAGAACCCTTCTCCAGCCAGACTGGGAAGCACTATCGCTGGGGAGGGGAGGGCAGAGGAATGCAGCTTCTCGAATGTGGCTTGAGTGCAGAGGCCTTTGCTCTTTGTGCCTATGCCAAAAGCCCAGCGAATTCCCTAAAGAGAGCACAGCGGGGATGAAATCTGGGACGTGAGTGTTTAAAACCAAATGCCACGCGCCTGTGGGCCGACTGTCCGCAGGGAGAGGCTGAGCGCAATGCACCAGGGAATCCTATGCCCTAAGATTGGACTTAAAACAATATTCACCCCCGGCGCACCTGAGCGTGCTCCAGATTCCTGTTTCAGCAGCGTGGGCCTGAAATGCTGATCACCCTGAGCTCCGGTTGACTTCACAGGGAGCAGAGTGCCCCTCTCCTGTCTGGCACGTCTAGGAAATGGCCCCTGAGACTAAGTTATTTCATAGGGACGAGCCAATTCTATGTTTCCTCGTGTGCTAAGCAGCACCACCTATCCTGAGCCTGCAGAAGTCAAAGGCAGTCTGACTTTCACAGCAAAAAGCTTAGTTATTTCTCTGTCTCTGAGCCAGGCTGCAGAAACTTCACTCCTGGAAATACTAAACCCAACAGGAGAGATGTGCCTGAGGAAAGATTAAAGATTAGATGGTGCTTAAACCTGCCTGGGGAGGAAAGGGAGCAAGGAATTGTCTGTCGTCCTCATCCCTCTGCTCCAGCATTGCTGCTCAAATAGCAGGAACAATCTCTGTCCTTCTCCCCTCTCAGATTGCAAGTTGCTGGGGGCTCGGGCCCCAACCCTGCCAGGGTAGGGCTGCAGATCCAGCATCTGCTACGGGCAGGCTGCTTTATTGGGAAGGGCACACTGCGCCCTTAAAGGGTGTTGCTGCCGCCGCCCACGTACAGCCACTCCCACCTCTCCCCGAAGGCAGGTTCACGGCCACAGGCCAGCCCAGAAGAAACACTGCAGGATTTGCCCCATTCACTATGATCCTAGAGCCTGGGAGGCTTCCAGCTCTGGGAAGCTCTGTTGTCACTAAGCGGAGGCCAGATATTCTTCCTGTAGTCACACCTAGATAATGATGGCATGAATGTCCCTACGAATATGACAAGGCCCATCTACCCAGTGTTATCATCCTTGCCATATCCTCCCAGTTACAGCCTGAAATCTCCCACCACGGGCTTTCTCTGGCTCGTTGAAATAACCTTAGCAGAGTGGGATGCACAGGCTCTGCAGCTGCTTAAACCTCACATATGTGTCTCTGGCCCTCCATAAACTTGGCATGATACTGATTAAGGTACCAGTGGGTACAAGCCTGTCCTGATGGGGTTGTTCAAGTGAACAGTGTGCCCCCCCCCACAGCCCTTGCACGTAGGATGAGGAAACTAACACACGGAGGAATTCTTTCAGGAAAATACAGGCCCAGGTTTTGTTGTGCACCTCTGAAAACAGAGCCCCTTCTTTTGGCACCCAAGCCTTGCACACTTCGTTCATTCCCTTTAAAATTCCTCCACTGCAAATCTGCATGCAAGTAAGGCAGCTTCCTAGGGGTACCAGAGCAAATGGGGTTAGGACATTTGTGAGAGTGGAGGTGCATGTTTGTGTTTGTGACAGTGCTGGAAATAGCAATCATCTCTTCTGCTAGGGGAGCAAAACCATTGCACTCATTTGATGGTGGTGTGAAGGGAATGCTTTAGCTCTTACGAAACGTCCAGGGTGAGACTTCCAAGCCAAAAATGAGAGCACCACCCGTTGTATATTGATCCACCTGTGCACTTTAAACTTTGACACTGTATCATATGTGATGTGGAGAGTAGGCTTTGCTTGTGGGTGTATTTTCTCTCACTTCAAATAAGTCTCTCCCCCTGCTTAACCTGTTAGATTACAAGTTCAGTCTTCTGACCATTGTGAATGTCGTGCAAGATAAAATTGCCATAAACCCGGGTGCCGCTTCTTTGTATTTTCACATGCTGTTTTCTTGGTCTTGCGTATTGTGTTGCATTCTGGGCATCTCATTTAGTCAGAGTTCTCCTGACGTCGCGACGTAATTCTTACAAGGCTGTGGTCAGTAGTTTAGGCTCAGAATTTGGCCATTCTGCTCTTCCTGAGAAACTATAGCCATGATTTTTGCTGGAACCACATAGAAACAAAGCTGTGCGCTCCCGCTACGGGTCTGCAGCAGCTAATCAGCTTTCTCCCTTGCATTTCCATGGGTGCCAGCTAGAAAAGGACAATCAGTAGGGGACAGAGGCTTGAAGCTATGAAAGTATTAAACAGCGGGAAATTAAAGACAAATTCCACACACGCACCCCACAACGGAGTTTTCCGTTCTTAAAATCCATTATTTCATGCAGTTGGTGCAATTCAAGACATTCTTTCCCTCTCACTTTCAAGGCAACTTTTCTGTCTCTCCCTCCAGCGCTGCCAAAAGCAATGTAAAGGTTGATTTGTTTGTTTGGCTGCGAATTTCATAAGACTACATTATTTTGATCTACACCAGGTTTCTGATGCCAGATTGCGGGGAGGGGAGAGAAGAGATCTGCTGAAAAGCAGCTGTTATACCTCAGACATATAAATAATCATTTGAGACATTGCTCCATAAGGTTAACTTTATTTTTAAATTAGCAACATTTCTTCTCTCCGAAAGCAAATTCAAATGTTACGGGGCAGATCCTGTGCTGGTGTTAAATCAGCATTGGAGTACGTGGAGCTAGGTCAGTCTACATTCTTAAGCTCTTTGGAGGCCTTCTCATCTCCCATGCTAAGGAAACCACTTGATTCTGGCTTCAAACCTAGTTCTCTGTGTATTTTCCAGGAAGGAAGGATAAATAATTCTGCTGCTGGATGGTGCAATTCCAAGCCATAATTCTAGGAAGAGTCTTGTTAATGGCCGATTGTTGTTCAGAAATACTTCCTATGTTCAGGGATGCCCTTACCCCTTCTGGATTGTTGGATATATAAACTGTGACTGCACTGTGTTTTACTCTTATAAAAATACCTTTTATTCTATTGGTTGAATTTATGTCTGCTTTTGTTGTTTACAAGAACTGACTGGAAACACTGAAATGACTCTACGCATGCATGTCTTATCTAGAGACTTGATGTACTTTTAAGCTGTGTATTTTTATAAAGCAAAACTGAGTTTAAAACAAAAGCAGCACTGTGTATTTCTCTTGACCCCTGTAACTTATCCTAGTGAGAAAGTTCTTTACTGTTCATGTTTGATTGCAGTTCGAATCACTTCTAACACCCCTCTTTTCTACTCCACTGCTGAGCTGACACTGCCAGGTTCGATGGTGATAAATCTTTGCTAGGTCTAGCATAAAACTTAATACTGAACTTGGCTTTGTGGGCAACGGAGGGCTCTGAACAGAGGGCTCTATACTAGGGAGAGGCTAAATTAACCAGTCCCCTGTACCTATAAATCGATGGCATGAGCCAAAGCTAAAGGAATAATATGTCTCTGAACACTTACCTATTTTAGGGTTTTATACTGGTGCCCATCACTGGAGCATCTGAGCCCCTTCCACATAAAATCAGTAACGAAACCCTGAGTGGACTTCATGGAATCTCTAGCACATCTCCTTTTTAGAGGTCAAAATTCTGCTTGGAGTAGGTTTTTTGGGTTCTTCCTTTTCTTTTTGGGGGAGGGGTGGAGTTGGTCGGGGTTTGGGTATAAACGGGGTGTTTGATTTATGAGCATTACAGAGTGGCGTTTCTTTCTCAAAGAGGAAGGCTTTGCAATGTAGGTCAGTGAGAGTCTGAATTTGCCTGCTGTCCTCTGGAAGATTGTTCCTTAGCGGGGTCCCCTTGCTAAAGAACACTTTGTCCCGGGCTGTGGGAGCTGCATTGTCCCAGAGGGACGCAGCTGCCATGGTAGTTCATAGATGGAAATTTGGTCTTTGGTTGAAGCTGGAGCTAGCTCAATGAATTGCTTTGAAAATGAGAACTCAGACCTTAAACTGGTGTATCAGAAGCTGATGGGGAGCTGCTGGGGGAACCTGAGCACATGCCTGATGTGCTCGCAATGGCCTCAGTCATGGAGGAGGCAGAAAGCCTGTGCATAGTCTTCACATTCAGCTTTAGATGCAAAGAATTACCATAATCCAACCCCGAGGTGCAAACGCCTGGAGCCCTGCGGCCAGGCCCTCATCGGGGATGAAGTTTCCTAGTAAGCTAGAGGTAAAGAAGGCTTTTTTTTTTTTAAACTGATGCTACCTGGTTATCCAGGAGACAAGTAGGATCCTGAGGCACCCACCACTTTGACCAACGGGGGCTGTGAGTCTTCAATGGAAGACGAAGACAGCGACTCGGTCAGCTGTTCGAAGCATTTCTCCTTTCCACCCAGCATCACTTTGGTCTTGCCTGGGTTCAGCTTGAGCCATCTGCTCTTCATCCAAGAGCTGATCTCTTGTAGGTGTGCTGACATTTTAGTAGTGGCGGTGGTTGCATGAGCTGAGAATGGGCTATCTAGTTGAGTGGCAGTGGCAGCATACTCTAGTTGTCTAAGCCCATAGCTTGCCCTGAAGCGTCATTCTGTGTGGTAGCTGCTAGGTTTTTCCATCCAAGAGTTACCCTGTACTCCAGGTCTAGTTTTAATTTTAGATTATTTTTATTCTTTTGTTGTTTCCCTTAAAGTCCCGTGAGAGAGGACAGGGTTTGCGGATCTCCTTTGTGGCATCAGTTCTGCCTCTAGAGCTTTGATGGGATAGAATACAGGCAACGTGATTGAAACATATACATCGCTACACCTGCTGCATCGTTCACTTCCCAGGATGCAGTGGGGTTGAGAGCAGGAGGATTTATGGATCTGATGCATCACGCCACAGGGTGTGAAACCAACTATATTGTTTCACTGAAAAACACAATCAGGTTATGTAGATCAAGGTTGCATCAGGGTCTGTTTTGTGACAGGAGTCACTACCCTGTCTATGTATCAGAGGGGTAGCCGTGTTAGTCTGAATCTGTAAAAAGCAACAGAGGGTCCTGTGGCACCTTTGAGACTAACAGAAGTATTGGGAGCATAAGCTTTCGTGGGTAAGAACCTCACTTCTTCAGATGCAAGTCTATGTAACACACTCACCATTTTCTAAGAAAATGAACACAGAACGTCCCAATTGTGTTGTCCCTGTAGGAGGCTTGAGGTGTAACACATTGATCCACCCTGAATAACAACTGTTCAGAAATCATTTTCAAGGCAATGGGTTGCCTATGGTCAGACCCTTTCTGCAAAGAAAATACTCCAGAGGAGATCAAAACCACTTGGCATTGACCTATTTCTGTTCCTATTGAAGTCAGTGGGGAAAATCATCTTGACTTCCGTGGGAGCAGAGGTAGACCAATGCTAAGAACTTCAGAAAATCCCCGTCTAGGGCCCTGATGTGTCACTAGCTATCTGCTATTTACTACAATACCTATTTTGTGGTCCCACTATTAGTTCTTAGAGAGACACGATTGCTTACCCCATAACTGAACGTTTTCACTGGTAGGGAACAGGTAGAAATATCATCTCTGCCCCTATACAATTGGGAGCCCCAAAGCTGGGGAATCTAGCATGTTTCATGAATGCCGCTTCCTGATCCAAATCCACACTGTCACTTTTCTCTTGAACTACGGATCATCAGCCTCCACTTAACCTCGGTGGCCACCGAGGTTACTATTACACCACATGTAAATGCCACCGACAGAACCTTATTTCTTCTGGAGAGGTCTGTCTTGAAGAGGTCCTGTGAAGGGGCTAAGTTGCTGCTGTGGGTTCTTCTGACTGGCCTTGGAAGATCACATTCAAAGCTGACTGTAAAAGGTTACAAGTGAAATGAGGTTGGGGATCTCAGTACCGTCCCTAATAGTCATCTGTCCCTGGAATAAAAACCTCCACCAAACGACCTAACATATTTGCAGACCTTTATTTAGGACTGGAGTAACTGATGGTCCTGGCTGATGTCACTAGAATCCGAGACTTCCTGGACTACACTAAAGGAATTGGATAGACCCTGTAGTGCTGGGCCAGCACATGGGATTGCCCACTCTGTGTGTCCTGTCGTGCTCCAGGAGGTGAGGGCAGTCTTGCACCTTGGTTCTCTCTCACTTATATCAAGCAGGTCCTGCAGGATGGTGCTCCCCACCCAGTGCTCATTGTCAGGTCTCTGCCCCGCGAGCCCTCCAGATGGCTCCCGTACACCACCTGAGTTGGCTGAATGCCATCCACTCAGTCTGTCTCCAAACCACGCCCCACAAACATCTCTACATGTTTATGCTCCATACCATCCACATCTTCACTCTTGTATGTGTCACCAGTGGAGTGTGAGGAACACTGGTGGGCCAGCTGATATTTCACCCTAGTCCCATCTGCTGGGGATTCGGTTAGTAGCTTCTCCATGGAGCCGGGAGCATGGGCATGTGGGTGGTGCAGTTGACGGAGTTCCCTGGCCCCGGCCCCTTCTCCAGTGAAAGGGAGACCCTGGCACACAACTGCATAGAGTGCATCAGGCGACAGCCCCTCTTCAGGCTCCTCCAGAGGGGGGAGGGATAGCTCAGGGGTTGAGCATTGGCCTGCTAAACCCAGGGTTGTGAATTCAATCCTTGAGGGGGCCACTTAGGGATCTGGGGCAAAAATCTGTCTGGGGATTGGTCCTGCTTTGAGCAGGGAGTTGGACTAGATGACCTCCTGAGGTCCCTTCCAACCCTGATATTCTATGAGCACCTCCTGCCGAGGTCCTGGCTGTGTTCTTCCCTACACTTCCTTGTATTTGCACACCCCCTCTGGGGCTCCACAAAGTCACGAGACCTCATCAACCTCGTCTTGGCACTGGCCAAGATGGCCGTCCACTGGACCAGAAGGAGGAAACTTGACAGGGGGTGGGGCTGTTTCTGGTCCCTTGTTTTAATCACATCTACCAGCAGAGCTTGTATGGGCAGCATCCAGTGACTCCTTTGAGGAGCAGTGGGGTGCTGTCACGGGTTCTGTGCTAGTGTCCCCTTCTAGATCCCTTGTTTTGGGCTGTGACCTTTGCTCCTGTCCCGGTTTTGTTATTCGTTGCCCCCCAAACTCAATTGTGGCCTGGGCTTAGTGGTTCCTCTCCCTCGGTTGAGGGGATGGGCTTTTAGTCTTGAGCAGGCCTAGACCTGCCCCTCCCAGTACTCCCTAGAGGTATACAAAGTTCATTCATGGGTTTGCCAGTATTGCAAAACAGTTGCATGGGCTGGGTGAGAAAGGGAAACCATTTCAGTGGCTACCTAAATACCAAGTTACATTTGCACTTACAGAGTTCAACAGAGCCCTTGTGACCGCTCCTGTCTTAGCCCACCTGTGTCTCAAAATTCATATCAGACACAGGCCAGTGCTTATGGCTTGAGGGCAGTATTGTTATTACAGCAACAGTCAAAGTTCTGCTAAGAGAAACCACCATGCCACCAGGAAGGATTTCTTGGCAGTGATTCAATCTATTTCACCACTATCTGTATGGGAGAAAATTGGTGGTCAGGGCAGTCCATGCATTCCTCCAAACAGCTCTTTAGAATTAGGAATCCTGAGGGGCAACTGTCCAGGTGGTTGGGGAAACTAAGGTTCTCAGTTCACAGACACACACACAGGCCTGAGGACAAGCAGGGACATGCCACTGCCATGTCCAGACATCCTTTTTGGGAGGATAATTGCAAACACTGCCCCAAGCAGGAGAGCAAGGAATTGGTCATTCAAGGGAATGGATGTGTCTAGAGATAGCTGTCTCTTCATTCACCATGGATTGCAGAACAGGAGAGCAAATTCCTGGTTCATTTGCTGGAACAAGAAATGCAAGAATGGAGCAGTTGAAAGCTACAGAAAAGAGAAAAATATCGCCAAAGAGACATGAATGGGAATTAAACAGATTTTGGGAATGGGGATTTGGAAAGTTCTAATCAGAAGAACACTTGCTATGTAGTGTGACAGAGGGCATTTTCCTGCACTCTCCCAGACAAACCTTACAGACAAGTTAAACTTTAATATCTTTGGGGTCCATTGTATTAAAAATCCAATTGTTTATGTGTTATTGTAGAATTGTATGCAACTTTTCTTAGAGACTGGCTGATGTAAAACCTTGGGGAAATATTAGGAAGTTTAAAAAAAACTGTTTGGGACATGTGACAAGTCCTCTGCCTGCCCCTCTTCCTGGG